CTAGACAACAGGTATATAATGATAAAAACCTGTCTCTGTTGGAACATGCGCTTCTGCATGATGAACTGAAGAAGGTAGATAAATCAGGAGCCCGGGGGTGAGGGTGCGGGGGGGGGGGGAGGGGGATAAGGAGTGCTTGAACTGGACTGGAAAGGTGCATGGAGACTGGGTTCAGGGAAACTGGGTTCATGGAGGCTGGGTGCATGGAGCCTGGGAAGTGGGAAATATAGAGGAGCTGAAATAAATGAGACTGAGTGATGACTTGAATGTTAGAGAAGAAGAGAGAGGGTGGGATGAAAGATGACAGTAAGGTTTTGACTCTGTATACTTGAGAATGGAAATAACTATTGGTGTCTCAATCCACTTGGTGCTGCTGTAATGGGGTACCGTTGATGCTAAGGAAAGGACATTGATTCCTTACAGTTCTAGAGTCCAGTATCAAGGTGAAAGCATCTGGTATGGACCTTGTTGTTGTATAGAAGACATCAGTAGACAGCAAAGCTTGAGGAGAGGTGGGCAAGGGGAAAACAAAGCACCCCATTTGTAAGTATCATTCCTGAGCTATCGACCTTAGTCTACAAAGGAGACACTTCCACGACTACCCCTTCAAGGTCCCACATCATAACACAGTTTCAATGACATCTAAATTTAAATATGAAGGAGACCATATCATCCCAGGAAGGAAGTGCTGCAGGGAATTTATTGTGATACGAGTTTTGAATCGGAGGTGTTGACATGACATCCAGAAAGCTTTTGGAAAATAAGAAATAAGTATGGGAACTTTTTTTTTTTTTTTTTTTTTTTCAAGAAGCTAGAGGGAGAGAGAGAGGAGGTTTGGGAGTTGTGGATGGAAATATAGGCACGTGAAACCTTGCACATGGCTGAAATAGCCCAGGGTGAATGGGAACAGAGGGGAGGACAGGGCAAAGTGCTGTCCTTCAGGGACCAGCTAGTTCTTGGGGGTTGCCAGAGGAAGGAGAGAAAAAGCAGGAGCAGTTACAAGTTGAGCAGGATGGCAGCATGCCCAGGCACTAAATAAGTAGAGATTTTCCAGAAAGAAGACATGGCCAGCCGTGGAGGGATACCGAGAGAACTCTGGCCTGATGACTTGCAGGTAATCAGTACCTACAGGGCTCTGGGAAGTGGTGGGGACAGCACAGTACGAAGGAAGTATACATTTGAAGGGATGGATTAGAACTGTTTTGGGTAATTTAGTCTTCTCGGAAAGTGGATGGTGAAAAGCAAAGTATAGTGTGACTAATCCAAAGAGTCAAAACCGCTCAGAGATCTGTTCTTTATTTACTTGCTGTTAATTGCTATCTAGTTCGGGCTGCAAATTCACTTTCACCCATAGGAATCAGATGTCTTGGATTTTTTTCCCCAGGGACTCAATCTTTAATGTGATGGTCAACTAATTGGCTGTATTTTTTTAGTGATATATTTTAAGTATATAGAAATTCATAATGAAGTCAAGGTATCACTACTTCTGATTATGTTTGATTTCTGGGTATTTATTGATAATTGATTAATGTACATTTTATGTATATTGCTTATAACCCAAATCACCTTAAAAGTCAACTTTCTGAATAAGTGGGTAGATTTGGATTTTCTGATAGACTAATTGATGTCATGGGATTCATAGTTTCTTCTTTGTGAGTCTTCACAATAATAAAAATGCAATATTAAGAGCAGTTGAAGGATATCTGGATCAGGTTGGCCCATGGACATGCTTGCAGGGCACTGTCTTGATTCCTTTCAATGAGATGGGAAGACCCACACCCACCCACTGTGGGCGGCCTCATCCTCTAGACAGAGGATCTTGAACTGTGTAAGAGCAGAGGAAGTGAGCTAAGCAAAACTAGGCACGCACCTATCTGTTCTCTCTGCTCTTGACTCTAGTTGTGACTGGCTGCTTCAAGTCCCTGTTGCCTTGACTTCTGGCACTAGAGTGAAGGGCTATAATGTGAAGTGTGAGCTCACACAAACTCTTTAACCCCCACGTTGCTTTTGTCAGGGTATTTTATCGCAGCATCAGTAAAGGAAACTCGGATAATGGAACCGGGGAGGCAGCACAGTTGGTAGAATGCCTGCCTTGCACTTTTCTCATGAGGAGAACATGAGTTTCATCCTCAAGACCATGTCAAAAAGAGCCAGTGTTTAGTGTGTGCTTGTAAAGAGCTTAACACTGGGGAGACAGAGATGGATAATTTCTGGGGATAGATGCCTAGCCAATGTAGACTGCTTAATGAATTTTAGGCCAGTAAAAGATCTTGTCTCAAAAAAAAAAGTAGGCTAAACTCTGAGTATTAGCACCTAAGGTTGTCTTCTGGACTCCATAAAGGCATATTTGCCTGCATTTATATGAACATGCACGCATGCACATGCTCTCTCCCTCTCCTACCTCCTCTCTTGAATGAGGCATGCCTCTCCTGAACTCTGCTATGAAATAGATCTGCAATTTCTCCGGCTGGTGGTTGTTTACTGCCTTAAAAATAATGCACATTGCATGGCTACGCTGTCCTCACTGTCACTCAAGTCAGAGAGGCTGGAAATCGACAAGGACAGAATACAGGGAAAACAAATTTAAGACATAGTCCCCAGCTCAACCGGAGATGTCATATGTAGTCAGAGTTCACAATTTCTATGTGTGGACAGATTTTTCCTCTGGGCCACCTGATCACAAAAAGTGACATGGAGACTTATTATTAATTATAAAAGCTTGACCTTAGCATAGGCTTGTTCCTAACTAGTTCTTGTAACTTAACCTAATCCATATCTTTTAATCTACATTCTTTTATGTACCTTTACTATGTACTGCCCATCCTGCTTCCTCCACATCTGGTTGGCAACTCCTCCTTCTTCTTCCCAATGTTCTCTCTCTGCTTGAAAGTTCTGCCTATCTCTCCTGCCTAGCTATTGGCCATTCAGCTTTTCATTACACTAATCACAGCAATACGTCCTCACACAGTGTACAAATATCCCACAACATCAACAGACTTTCATTTTGCATCTTAAATTTTATGTATGGCCAGTGGATACTTACTGAATGGCCATTCATGTGTGACTAGTCTTTTTGTTTTGTTTTGTTTTTGAGACAAGGACTCTAGTTCAGGCTGGCTTAAAATTCTATATGGAGCTGAGGATGACCTTTGAAATGCTGAAGTTGAAAGCATGTGCCAGACACCTGCCTCTAGTTTTGTGTGTGTGTGTGTGTGTGTGTGAATTTGTGTGTGTGTGAGTGTGTGTGGAGGCCAGATGTCAACCTCAGCTGTTATTCTTCAGTAACTATCCATTTGGATTTGTTTTTTGAGAAAGGATCTTTCACTGGGACCCAGACATCACAGATTTGGCTAGGCTGGATGACCAGCAAGCTCCAGGGACACTTACTCAGGGCTCTTACTCAGCACTGGGATTGTTAAGTACCTGCCACCATGTCTGGCAATTTTCTTTTTATGTGAGGGCAAGGGATTATGCTTTGCATGGCAAACTCTGTATTAGCTGAGCTCCCTTTCCAGCTTTTCCAGTTCTTTTAAGTATGTAATCTCACCCGTCCTTAGGACAGTACTATCTATTCATCTCACAAATCAGAAATATACTATAGTAAGGGACATTGTTAAGGTTAGCCTAAACTCTGTATCTGTCTAATGCAAAGACTTAATTTATGGCCTCTGCATTGCCGTTTTCCTCATTTCCCATAGAACCATAGAAAGATGATAAATTATTTTCCCTTTAAACTTGAGAGCGTTCTTATGTAATTTATAGATAGTCTACATTTCTTCATGACTTTGCAAACCACTTAGGAATGCTGTGAAATATTTAAAAAACCCCGAACCACTGTCCAAATGACCTGGACTATCCTGTGAGCATCCCTGAGCTGAGAATGCAGTTCTGCCTCAAAGACACACTGGTGCAGAGGGAAGTTCTTGTCGCTGGGAAGAACAACACTTTCCATCAAATGTTCTGTGAGGCTGACTAATTGACTAGAAATTAGATGATTGTGGAGGGGTTGGAATGTTGCAGGCCCAGAGCCTGATCACGATTTATCTCGGGCTATCTTTGGTCCCCTTAATAACCATCCCTTGATCTGTGTGTCTGATCTACCTTCTTGGTAATAATAGGTAAAAACCTTTTTGAAATGTGGTAACTTAACAGACTATTAGCTTCCACCAACCCGAAGGCTCAGAACATCTTCAAATAGTGTCTGAGGCCTATGCATGTACTCTTCCTGCATGGTTTGAACTTGTCTACTGATTTCTCCACCAATGTATTTGAGAAATGTCTTGATTTATGACTTTTTTTTTCTGTTGCTATAAAAACTTCAACAAACTGTTACCACATCAGAACATTGAATTTAGCGTAACCTAAATCTGTGTTTCTGGGTCACAGTTTCTCTACTTGGCTCCAGAATAGACTGCCTTTTATCCCTTTTGAGGTGAGAGCTATGTTTATATATTTACACCGGAAACACAGGAGGGCTGAGACCCAGGCTGTGTTCTCTGGGGTAAAGTCATGTGATGGGATAAATACCATGGCCAAGAGAGAGGCCAGCAGGTTCCCATGGGTCAATGAGCAGGTGAGCCATGCTGGGGGACAAGAAGAGGGCAGCCTCTGTAGCCATAACCTGCCACTGTGAGTGTTTTGAGTGGAGCCTGAGGGAGCCCAGGAAGGGGGTTTGGTAGTACTTTCTTCTCACACAGCCGTCACTGCAGTACTCAGTAGATGTGGGGATGCTGCAGGCAAAGTAGGAAGTAAAGCCATTTTAATCGACTTACTCATTAATCCCAAAACATTCATTTTCGGCCTTCACTGTGAACCTGCCCATCTCTCAAAGTCCTCTAGGTAGCTGAGGGGAAACAAGACTGTGGTGGTTTGAAAGAAAATGGCCCCCCAAGGGGAGTGGCGCTCTGAGGAGGCGTGGCCTTGTTGGAGGAAGTGCGTCACTGTGGGGGCGGGCTTTGAGCTCTGTTTTGCTCAAGCTTCCTGCAGTGTGACTTCCCTCAGTGAGTCAACTTTCTTCCTGTTGCCTTGGAGTCAAGGTGTAGGACTCTCAGCTACTTCTCCAGCATCATGTCTGCCTGCACACTGCCGTGCTCCCCATCATGACGATAAGGGACTGAATCTATAAAATTGTAAGTGAGGCCCCCTCAGTTAAATGTTTTCCTTTAGAAGAAATGCTGTGGCCATGGTGTCTCTTCATAGCAATAAAAACCTAACTAAGAAAAAGACTCTTTTCTTTTAGGGCAAAAAATACTAAGCAGTTGACAAGGAACAGGAAATCACACCTTCAAACTGTTTGGAAACTTTTCTTTTATAAAAAAAAAAAAAAATGGAAAAAAAACCCCACCACAGAGATAGCACAGTTATTTTATTTGCCAAGACACTCACTGAATTTCAGCCTTTCATGGAAAAGCCAGAGTCCTCTTTTATTTTATGGAAATTTCTAACTTAGTTCCGATCTGATTTCACTGTGTCAGGCCCTGCCTTATCCACACATCTCTTTAGGCTCCCCAGTGACAGACAGCTCAGACAGAGGAACTAGGTGGGACCCAAGTTTGGGAACACTGGCCTCATATAAAAGCGTTCTGAGCATTCTTTGGGAATTTTTAAGAGCATGTTCTCAGTGCAAGAGATGTAGCCCTCACACTATGAGTCTGCTAAACGTTTAATCCAAATGTCACTGGAGAGGAACAATTTGACGTCTAAGAATATTTTCAGTTTTCAAAGTCTGATTCTTTAAAACGGAAAAATGTAATAGGCTCTGAGGCATGAAATTTGAAAACAAATATTAGGGAAAATTTGACTGCTTTTGTCTAAAATGATTTATTTTTCACCTAGGCATAACTGGAGGAGACACAAAATGGGCTTCAAAATGTAAAAACCAGGTTTCATATATATAATCTTTAAAAAAATGTCAGCCAGAACTTCTCACTGACATCAAGTTTAACATTAAAATGACAGATGCCATGTTATAAATACCCCAATCTTAAAATCTTTAATTTTTCTAAAATCCAAAGCATTTTAAATACCTTACGTGACAACTTGACCTCATATGATGGGCCATAGTCATAAAGCAGGTTACTACAAATACTATAAAAAATTATGGTATAAAGAATATGCAAAACATACCCAAATTTATATTTAGACTTGGGTCTAATAAACTATTTCATTGTATATTATATGTATCACACATACCCATATATATATACATGCACCTAAATATATATATTATACACACACACACACACACACACACACACACACACACACATTTTGAGAATATTCTGAAACAAAACAAAAAGAAAGAAAGAAAAGCATTCTGAAGCAATTCTAACCTCAAGAGTTTCAAATGCAGAACACTCAACCTGTGTTACTGGTATATTTCAATTGATATTAATAAAGCAACAGCAAGTATTTATAATCACATTTAAATTTCAATGTATTACAATATTCCCATCATAAGCCAAGAATGATGCCACCTTATTGGTGTTGATATTAATGTTCTCTTTTGCCAAAAAAAGAACAAACCTTGGGACACTCAACTTTTAGTGCCTAGGACTAAAATAAAACAAGTCTCTCAAATCTCTCCTGATCATTACCACCATTTCATTGTGAATATGGAGACAGAAAGTGCTTGGGGATCCAATTTACTCAGATTCTCTGAAGAAGACCACCCAGTGATCACACTTTGGAAGCTCTCCATGTGTTTGAATTTGTGTGTACAGAATTTTATGCTTGTACTTAGTGGGTTTATAATATTAGTAGAGGCGACAGATGTGTAAGAAAATTACCTACACATCACTGGGTTAAATATTTTCCTAGAAAATCTTGTTAGCGGTCAACTAGAGGATCTATGTAGACTCTATTCTGAAGAAGAGGGTAAAGGTTCCCAGATGGGGTAATGGAAAGATTGCAAGAGGCAGAGAGGATAGATGATTACAACAAAATAGTGTTTCTGGGACAACAGAGTTGTACATAGGAACTTACAGTGGTTGTCACAGCATACACCAGATCTATACAAGACCAAGCCAGACAAAACACTAATATGGTGTGTGTGTGTGTGTGTGTGTGTGTGTGTGTGTGTGTGTGTTATTTATGAAGCCCCACCATTAGCAGAAGAGCTGTTGATGATTGATAGCTTCTGGGAGAGGGAGAGTCAGTTTATTTAAGGGGTTTTCCCCCCTTTAAGCCTAATAGAGGTTGACCACACTCCAGTGGATGGCTTCGCACTTAGGAGCATATGATCAGCACAAATTTGACTTTATGGATTTAGAGAGAGAGAGAAGACATGGGTGAGTAGGTAGGTAAGGATGAATCTGGAAGGAATTAGGAGGAATAGTTGAGGGTGAAAATGACCAAAGTACATTGTATAGAATTCTCAAATAATTAATAAAACCATTTTAAAGAATAGAATTTATGTTGGTTAGCTTTAACTGTCAACTTGACTTAACATAAAAATTACCTGGAAAGAGAGTCTTCATGAGGAATTTTCTGGATCAGGTTGTCATGCAGGCATGTTTATGGGAGATTGTCTTGATTGTTAATTGATACAGGGAAAACCAGCCTACTGTGGGTGGCACAATTCCCTAGGTTTGGTCCTGAAGGATATGAGTGACACAAGCAATCAATTAATCAATCAGGCAGGCAGGTAGGCAGTATCAGTACATTCACTTTTTCCTGCTCTTGACTGGATGTGGTGTGACCCTGTAATGGTGGGCTATAAATTGCACTTGTAAGCAGAATGATCTCTTCCTCCCCTAAATTGCTTTTTTTGGGGGGGGGGGCGGGGGGAGTCAGTATATTTTACCACCACAACAGAAATAAAACTAGAACAGAATTCCTCTGTAATCTAAATTCCTATTCTCTTACTGCCCTGGATTCTACTTTATCAGTAATGAAGGACATTGGGCCTTTGCATTTTGATTTCTGTAGAAGACCTATGCTGCAGATGACTGTCCTGTAAGCAACCACTTTCTTGGGCCATTCAGATGCATCCTGTTGCAAAAGATGATTCCAGCTGGGCCTGTTGACTATTTATACCCCCTTATGGAGGTGTGGGAAGGTCATGAGACCCTTATCCATAAATATAGCTTCTTCCTAGCACCTGCTGTCTGCCACTTTGCCTTAACTGCATGTGGACTTTGAGAGGAACTAGAGTACAAGAGCCAGAGAAGACTGGAAGTGGGGGCAGTATCTATGCAGCCATGGGAAAGCCCTCATCCCTTAAAAGCTTTTAAGGAGAGGCCTGTTGGGGTAGGATCACCCTTATCCTATAAACAACCCTTATGCTCTGTACAGAGGCACAGTAAACTCAGTGGTCTCCAGGATGAATCTGTGCCTTGGAATAGTGCCCTTGTTTGTCATTGGGACCTCAGGAGAAGGGTCGGCCGTTGGAAGGAATTTTAGAAACAGAACATATCTGCACACTTCTTTTTAATTTAAGAAATAGTTCACAAAGTAGCAGGCTTCCTTCTCGCATTCTCATAACCCTGTGTTTTAGTTGGCCTTTCCCACACCCCTTCCTCTCTCCCATTCCCCATTCCTGCTTAAACCCTTCCACTCCCAGGATTCCCTCACCCACTTTCTATTTCTTTTTGTTTTTTTTCCGAGACAGAGTTTCTCTGTATAACAGTTCTGTCTGTCCTGAATCTCGCTTTGTAGACCAGGCTGGCTTTGAATTCAGAGACCCACCTGCCTCTGCCTCCCGAGTGCTGGGATTAAAGGCGTCCCTCATCCATTTTCAAATTACACATGCTGTGTTGTTCTCCCATTCTTCTCTTTGAAGGCCTCTTTATCTCATGGGTCCTTTTTTAGTTTCTTGGCCCCTACACATGCTCACTCCTATTAAATACAAATATATAAGAATTAGAAGCTAGGATCCACACGTGAGAAAGAACATGTCTTTCTATGCCTGGAATACCTCACTTGTTATAATATTTTCCATTTTTACCCATTTTACTGCAGATTTCACTTTTCCTCATTATTGAGTAAACTTTCACAGTGTACATACCACTCTCTCTCCTTCCTTCCTTTCTTCCTTCCTTCCTTAGCTCAGCAAGGCATTTTTTTTTTCTTTCCAAAAAGGGTTTGCAAAGACCCAACCAGACTAGCAAAGCACACCGAAGCCAACATGCCTCTTGTCTTTTATCTCTGATTAGGTGCTGATGCGTCTCAGCCTGTTGGTGGGAATTTGACTTCATAATCTGATATGACTGGCTAATTATCACAAAGGGAAAGTTCAGGAGATAAGAGTCCTTGCTGGGCTAACTGCTTTTGAGTAAAACATTTTTTTCCCCCTCACACCCACTTCCTGACTTAGCCAACAGGTCAGTCATTTGAGGTTTCTAGTAAAAGTGAATCATTGTTAAAGTTGATAGTTTAGGTATGGTTTAATGTGAGCTCATGATCCTATGGGGTAGTCCCTCAATCAAGAGATTAACCTGTCCCCCAAAGTACTATTCTCTTGACCAGAAGGGATTTTATCTCAACAGGGCTTTTGCTATTAGTACCCTCCTTGTGAAGAGGTAATCCCAACTGCCATTGTGGGAGAAGAGCAATGACTGGTCTGGCTTCTTCCAGCTGAATTTGGGGTGCTGAGTAAACTACCATTTTATTTTATTTTTTCGCTTTTCAAGATAGAGTTTCTCTGTGTAGTCCTGGTTACCCTAGAACTTGCTCCATAGACCAGTCTGGCCTCAAACTCACAGAGATCCTCTTGCTTCTGCCTCCCGGGTGCTGGGATTAAAGGCGTACGCCACCACCGCCCGGCGGGTAAACTACATTTTTGTCATCCATTCATTTGTTGATGCATATCCAGGTTCTGTTTCCTGGTTATTGTGAGAGAGCCGCAAGGGACATGGATGTGCAAGAATCTCTATGAAAGACAAAGAGCCCTGTAGAGCCCCGGAGTAGTATGTCTAGGTTATTTTGTGAGTTCTAATTTTAGTTTTGAGGAAGTCTCCAGAATGATTTCTCTAGTGTTCACGCCACAGTACACTCCCACCACACACAGGGGGTGCGGGTTTCTTTTCCCGGCATCCTCACTAGCATTTGTTGCTACTTGTTTTCTTGGTGATTGCATTCTGATTAAGTCGAGGTGGGCGGACTTCCAGAGCCATTGGATTTGCTTTTCTCTGTCACTCACGATGTTTGCACTAGTTGGCCAACTCGATACAAACTCTAGTCGTCCGGGAAAAGAGGAGAGCCTCCTCGAGAAAATGCCTCCACCAGATTGGTCTCTAGGCAAGTCTGTGGGGGAATTTTCTTGATTAATGATTGATTAGCCCCCAGTGGACAGTGCTACTTCGGGGCTTGTGGTCCTGGCTTATATATGAAAACAAACTGAATAAACCATGGGGAGCAAGCCAGGGACTTGCACTCCTCCATGGTCTCTGCTTCAGTTCCTGCCTCCAGGTTGCCGCCCTGTTTGAGTTCTTGCCCAGACTGTTACCTGGAAGAGCAAGATGAAATGCATCCCAAGTTGCTTTTGATCACAACAGTAGACAGTATACTGGGACCATGGTCCCATTAAAATACTTAAAAAAAAATATTGGCCATTTGTATTTTCTCTTTTGAACATTTTTTGCCAGTTTTGTAGCCCATTTATCTTTATTGGGTAGCTTAAGTTTTTTGAGTTCGTTAGATATCAATCCTCTGTCAAATATATAGCTGGCAAAAATTTCTTCCTATTCTGAAGGCTGCCTCTTCATACAACATCAAATATTTCCTTTGTAGTACACAGTGTTTTTTTTAATTTCATGATGTCCCATGTGTTGATTGTTGGCCTCATTTTCTGGGTGGCTAGAGGCCTACTCAGAAAGTTCTTACATATCCCTATATCTTGATTTTATTTTCCTCTAGCAATTGTAGAGTTTCAGGGCTTCAATAATGTCTCTGATCCATTTGGAGTTGATTTTTTGGTGCAAGGTGAGAGGTAAGGATCCAGCTTCATTCTTTTACCTGTGGCTATCCATTTTTCTCAGCTCTGTCTGTTAGAGGCTGTCTTTCCACTCTGAATATACTTGGCATCTTTTTTAAAAAAAATCAGGTGACTCTGTCTGTGTGGGTTTGGATTTGGATTCTTTGTTCCATTGATCTATCTGGTCCCATGCCAGTCCCTTGCTGTTTCTGTTACTATGGCTCTGTAATATGGCTTGAAATTCAGTTCAAGTGAGCTCTCTAGCCTTATGGTTTTTGTTTGTTTGTTTGTTTTTGTTTTCTCAGAATTGCTTTCACTATTCAGAGTCTTTTGTACTTCCAAATGAATTTTAAGGCTCCCCCCTCCCCATTTCTGTGAAGAATAGTGTTGAAAGTTTGATGGAGATTGCATTGAGAGTGTAAACAGTTTGTGGTATTACAGACATTTTCACAGCATGACTCCTTCAAACCATATGCATGGGAGATCTTTCAATTTCTCTCTTAGTGTTTTAAATTTTCCATTATAGAATTCCTTCACTTCCTGGCTTAGGCTTATTCTGACATATTTTATTTTATTGAGATAATTGTGAATGGGGCTGTTGCTCTCATATCTTCCTTGGTATGTTTGCCATTGGTATGTAGAAAGGTTGCTGATGTGTGTGTGTGTGTGTGTGTGTTTGTGCGCGCGCGCGTTAATTGTGTACCTTGCCATTTTGCTGGAAGTGCTTATGAGTTTTAAAAGTTTTCCAGTGGAGTCTTCAGAGTCTCTTATGTGTAGAATCGTATCATCGGCAGCTAAGCACATCTGCATGGTTCTGAGACTTCCCAATCCACAGTGCGAGCATCAGTTGACTCTTCAGCTGGCCTGCCAAAGAGCTGAGCCTTTAGATTTTAGGACAGAGAACTCACAAAGCTGGCTTAATATTTCACTTTTCATCAGGACATTTTGGCATCAGGTAGAGAGCAATCATGGACGGATTTCAGGAATTTGAGTGATTTGGATCCAGTACAGAGAAAATAACAGCTTAGATTCTAATTTGAAGTGAAGTTCAATTACCCACAGCCAAAAATATCCTTTCTTCTTCCAAGTGGTCTAAGATACTCATTAGGTCTGGCATCAGTCCTGGGGTATTTTTGTAATGAAGTCGGCTCAACGTTTGCAGGACAGATGGGGTCACCATCCTTCATGGGGCTCGAGAGGAGAACAGAGTTGAGCTAGAAACCAGAATAAAGAACTGAATGAGGAAAAATGTCCCAAAGACCCAGGTGTGTCTTAACGATTCCTGGTATGTTTCGAAATTGAATGTATGTATTTTCACACTGTAGAGGTGCAAGGCAGATATTTTATGTGAGTGTTCTTTAGGTTTTGATAGACTTCTGCATCAAATCAACCATTATCACAGCCAAGAGAAAGAGCTCCATCATCACCTGGAAGCGTGGCACCTCCTCAGTCTGTTTTCACACCACATCCCAATCTTTATTGCACCACTGATCTGGTTATAACCTCAGTGGATTAGTTCTTTCTTCCCAGGACTTTCGCATTGTATCTGTAGTTGGACTTTAGTGCAGTCTTGCTTCTATTACTAGGCAGGATGCTTTCAAAATGTATCCTTATTATCTAGTCTATCAGTCATTGTTTCATGTATATTGCTGACTAATATCTCATTTGTAGTTTGTTCGTCCACGTGCTTGCTCAGAGGCATTTGGGATATCTGTGATTCAGGGTATTTATGATTAAGCTGATAAAGGCATTGATGTACAAGTTTTGGTGAAGGTATGTATTTTCACTTCTTTTTGGTAACTACCTAGGAGTTTTTATGAGGAGACCTCATAAAAAATAGGGAGGGTCATATTTAGGGAGGGCCATATTGTAATCTGCTTCCATCTCTTAGGAAAATGCCAAATTAAATGATATGGCTATAGCCATTTTCCATTCCTCTCGCCATTTTTAGGAATGTCCACTGTTGGATGTTATTGTGAATCTAGCATGATGGTCAAGCTCATCTACACAGTAGGTGTGGAGTGTTCTTGTAGTGCTGTCTCAGCATGCAAAATTTGCCTGGTGCTGGAAATGCTGAACAGCTTTTTGTGTGCCTATGGGCCATTAGTAGATTCTTGCTTGTGGGATGTTTATTCACGTCTTTTCTGCAGTAGTTTTGAATGTGCATAGTGACTGCCATGAATTTGTGCTCAATCTTACTTTTGAGGGTAATTTACATGGTGAAAAGCAGAATTCAAAAACCATTGTTTTAAAGTGAAATGACAAAGGAAGCAAATTTGGCTCTTGGTTTGTCTATCCTGCCCCCCCTTTTTTTTAATTATGAAAGATTGGTTAATTTTTATTTTATTTGTTGAGTCATTTGCCCGCATGTCTGCATATCACATGTGTTCTTATGGCTCAAGGAGGCCAGAAGAGGGCTTCTGATCCCCTGGAACCCTGATCTGGGTTACAGACAGTTATGGGTCATTATGTGGGTGGTGGGAATGAAATCTTGGTTCTCTGCAAGAACGGCTAGTGCTCTTAACCCTTGAAGCCTCTCTCCAGACCTTGGTTTCTTCGTCTTGTTTTCTCAAGAATCTGTATAGTAAAGAGCAAAGCACTATGCTGGACATTCTAGAGAGTGCAGAAAATAAGGACTCCATGTAAGAAAGCCATCTTGGAATATAGAATCACGGCTAGGCTCCAAAGTGAAGAGCGATGGAGCTACATTTCCATTTTACAATTTGTTAACACTCACAAATTTCTTATCCCCTCAGAGTCCACAGTTTTATAAGCTAAAAAAACAGCATCTATAATATGCAACTAGTAGGTGATTCTTAATATGAAATAAGAGAATAAATGTGAAATCCTTAAGCATCCCCAGCATGGCTGAGAGTAGCTATGTTTCCAATATTAGATCCTTCTCTTTTCTATCTTCATGGACTTGCTTTATTTCTTTCTCTGATTTACTATTTAAAGGTTCCTCTCAGTGGTGCTTCAGCCTTCCCACCCTTTAGAGATTCTAGACCTGGTTTAATCCTGCTTCCGTCCCATCTCTATCCATGTGTTTTCTCTCCCAGAGTTTTGCCGCATGTAAGTAGCCTGTCTGACGACATACGACTTTATATATGACTCATGTTAATATGGCAGTGGTGGCAATATTTTAAAATTTCAGTAAATATGAAGATTGAGGGCAGAATGAGAAATGGGGGGACTCTGAGGCCTGTGGGAGGCAGGGGAGGGTAGGTAGTATTTTTTGGTATTTTTGACCTTTCCCAGAACCCCATAAATCACATTACATAAGTGGTTTCCTCAAGGGAGTTTGCCTGAACTTGGGTATTTTCAATTAGTTGCTTCTTTTCAAGCCCTCCCTACGTTTTTATGAGGTCTTTCCCATCACCTTCTCGTGGGCCAAGCCATATAAATGACTTTACAAGCCAACCAGTGTTGTTTTTTGATAAGTGTCTGCTTTCTTCCAAATTTATAGTTTCACCATGCTCCTGTTTTTATTGATTGCACAAGATTTAGTGGTGTGTTTCATGGAGCATTTAAGAATTTAGAAAAAGAAATAAGAACATTTAGCTGTCGGAACAGAAGCCAGATGGAGTAGACAAGTCTGCTGTTGGTCTTCTGGACTTGGCATCAGGATCCTGTGTAGCATCTAAGCTAACACATCTTCAAGAGAAATTTGGGGAGTGGTCAGATCTTCCTCGAAGATGTTGTGAAAACACAGGATAGTATAGTTAGGCATCTAATCTAGCATCATGTCTAGGTTTTATGTGAGAACATGTTAATTGTGGTTAGAAGGCAAGTTTTTGATGAATATCAATATGCTTCATTGGTTATGATATTCATAAGGACAATCTTCACCGCTGACGTTATCCGGAGACAGTTAAGTCATTCTTTCTTGAATGCCGCTTTTTTTATCATGCAATTTGCAATCCTCGATTCTGGTTCCTGTCGGTTTGTTTAGTGATGTTAACACATGTTGGTTTCCAATTGCTTTGAGAGACAGAGAAAACCAACAGAATACCAACAGCAAATAAATAAAATCACACCAAATTTCAGGTCCTAAAAGAAGCTAGCTTTTTTTTCCCCCCAGCCAAATGTGTTAGGTCCAAGTTAGCAAAGAACTTGGAAAGAATGTTTATGGCTTCCAGGAAATAGATGTCTGCAAATGGGGTCTACTCTGAAACTTTACCCACTTTACAAACCAAAAATGTTTCCCCAAATGGCCAAAGAAGATTGCCTTCAAGCAGAGTAACTGAACTGACATGCATCCAAGTCATCCCCACTTGCTATTCTTGGAAGTCCCTTCTTATTCTGAGAAGGAAAAGCCAAGAGAAAGGAAATGGAGAGTTAGGCACTATCTCCTTTTTCTGTAACTTTGGATAACTCCCCGAAGACCTATCCAAAGCATCTTTATGATGGTAAAGTGTCCTAAATATGTGTGCACCACCGCCCACTGGACAAAATTTGTCAGCGTCGGGTCTCCACTGGGAAAAGTTCTCTGCTGATAGTGACAGGGTAAGCATAGTTTTGTGATAACTTAGAACTGGAGAGATGGGTAGTGTCTGAGAAATGGTCAGTATCTAGGCGCTGGCAATAGAAAATAGAGGAATTTTAGTTGAAAAGTTGAAATAAAAAGATTTGATATTCAGAGCCACAAAGAAGATCTGCAAGTGTTCCCATGTCCCATTGGAGTACCCCTCCGTGTTCTGCTTGATGGAGTCATGATGCTCCTCATGGTCTTCTGTAGTACTGATTTTACTTTACTTTCAAAATTGAAAAATAAGTGTGTGTGTGTGTGTGTGTGTGTGTGTGTGTGTGTGTGTGTGTGTAAATCATTTTACCTTGTGTGGAGGCTAGAAAGAAGATCCTGTGAAAGAAAGCAGTGTTGGTATAATGCCAATTACAAAAGAGGTAAATGCGTAGGACATGAGGAAATTTACAGTAAAGAAGCCAGAAAAAACCCCACCGCTTATTAGTTGGCAAAGTTTCACGAAGCATACTCATCATTTGGGCTAAAGAAGGCATAGATGAGAAAAGTGCAAAAACCAAAAATATAAAAATAAAAAACTTGGAAAGACCATATAGTAAGGAGTGGTGGATTATTCAGTGATTATATTGGGTATTTTGGAAGGGGTCACTGAAAAGATAAAGGCACGTGGTTTATTGTTTTTGTTTTTTCTTCAGGAGGGATTTGTGTTGGTTTTTGTTAAAGTGATGTAGCTAGAGTTTTTCTGGTCCTGCCTGGCCCACGGTCAGGACAAATCTCTCTCACCTGCCAGTCCCGTAGCCACTCGGACCCAACCAAGTAAACACACAGAGACTTATATTACTTACAAACTGTATGGCCACGGCAGGGTTCTTGCTAGCTGTTCTTACATCTTAAATTAAACCATTTCTATAAATCTATACCTTGCATGGCTCATGACTTACCAGCATCTTACATGTTGGTACTCATGGCGGCAGCTGGCAGCGTCTCTTGACTCAGTCTTCCTGTTCCCAGAATTCTCTTCTCTGCTTGTTCTACCTATACTTCCTGCCTGGCTACGGGCCAATCAGCATTTTATTAATACAGAGTGATATCCACAGCAAAGTGAATTTCAAACTAATTTTTGTTTCAAATATGTTCAAATTGGGTTACCTCCCAGGTGCCACCAACCCTTCTACACCTGTAAGGGCCAACAGTTCAAACAGATTTGTTTTGGGGGCTTCTTTTATGTTTTCTTGTAAAACTTAGGTCAACAGGGTAAATCTGGACTGAAGTAATCTCCCACAATGGACTGATGTGAGTTTAAGGGATCATTGCTATTGAGGTATTTATTCCTGGAGTTAAGAGATGGATCTGTTTGAAGTTAGTTTCCAAACTTACCTACATTATTGAAATTGTCTGGGAAGGGCTGGAGAGATGCTCAGTGATGAAGAGAACTTATTGCTCTTCTACAGGAAGAATTCAGGTCTTAGAATTCATGTCACAATTGCTTGTAATTCCAGTTGGAGATCTTATGCCCTCTTCAGGCTTCAGTGAGCACCATCACATACATGCCACATGCACACCCTCCCATCCCACCCCCGACAAATATATGTATAATACATCTTTGAAATCATCTGGGAGATTATAAATGTTCAGATACATCTATCAATTCTCAGTGAAGGCTACCATGATGAACTATAAAACATTCCCTGGGGCTAGGGGATGAATATGT